TAAAATGTACTCAAGTAGAACAGGACATTCCTTTACGAATCACCAGTGCCCAGGTTATGAGCACTGTGCTTTTATACCAACCAGCACATCTTTCTGCTAATCCTTGGGCCAGCCCTGCATTGGGCTACATAATCCAGCCCCCAAAAGCTCTTTGTTGACCAGTCGAGATGCAAGTAGCCTCACAAACTGCCCCATGGCTCTCCCTGCCCCAGCCTAAGCCCTTCCAAATGGAGACAGTGGGTTGCTGGGCACTGAGCCAGGCTTGATTAATGATTGACTTCTTTAATATTTAAACAAAGCTCATCTCAGCCACTCTGCTCTGGAGATGGCCTTGTTCAACACACACACACACCTGCTGCCTGGCCCGTTGCCCTGGGGAGCGAGCATAGGACAAACAGCACCTTTTCAGGCTCAATGGGGGATGGGGAGGACAGGAAGGAGAGAACTGTAGGAGAATATTTGGGAAATTAGTGTTCTAGAAACAAGACTGGGGAAAGAATGGGAAGGCCTCTGCCCCTGCCTTTCCTAGTTCATTATCCTCAGCTTGGGTCTGCCTGCCACGAGGATGCTACATCCAATATTGGGGATTCAAAGTGTCTGGATGAAGGTTCCATGGACTCCTGGGGAGGCTGGAAGTCAGTGTGTGTCAGAGAATAGGGAAGACTTGAGGGGAAACAGCATTACAGCCAGTAACTACAGAGAAGGGGTATCCTGGCTGCAACTGAGCTGGTGGGAGGGTGGCCAAAAGAGGAGACCAGGTCTCTCTGAATTAAGAATCTGAGCCCTGAAGTCAGGTGTTCAGGGGACAGAGATACTAGGCTGAGATCTCCATGGACCCTACCTCTGTCCAGGTTTCGAAAGGTCTTCCTGAGATCTGGCTGAGCCCAAGCACTTGCTCCAGCCCCAGGCTCTACAGCATCCTCATTTGATGACTCTGTCCCTGCTCTTACTTTTCTGTGCCATAATGTCCTTATTTGTCCCTATGACTATCAGCTCTATAAGAGCTGAATGCACATCAGGAGTGTGCCCCTGTGTAACAACTCTAGTCAGCACAGGCCATGGTGAACAAAGGGACTTGGAAATTGATGGAATGAATAAGTGAATGAATGAATGAATGAATGAATATCCCACTGCCCAAGTCCCTCCTCAGAGCTCAGCACCCCATGCACTGAGCTCATGAGAAATAGCCCCTTCTTTTCCTCCATAGCCAGTCTGTCCAACAGAGGGGCAGCCAGGACATCTCTGCCCCCTTCTCATCCGCCAGCCACAGTGGCCAAAGAGGCCACCACTAGGCACTGTGGCTCTGCATGACAAAGGCACATACATCCCAGGACTCCAAGCCTGTCACCCAGACTCCAGTAAAAACCTCACTGAGCCTCATTGTCTATCCTCCCTCCCCCACCCACCATTGTAGAGTTTATGTCACCAGAATATTTCTTTCATATCTAATTGCTTAAGAACTTGGTTGTTCATCAATTAAATCCAGATGTTCAAAATGGCATCTGAGGGTCTTTATTAATTACCTCTTTCCTCCAAACTCACCTCTCCCACGCCCCCTTGTTCCCCTCACCCCAGCCCCTCTGCACTGACATCACCTTTGGCCTTTGCCTAAGGTGCATGCCCCATTTGAATGCTTGTCCTCCAAGATGAGGCTCAAAATTGCTCACCAAACCCTCTGCAGCACTACAAGCCCACCCAGGTGCTCAGTGAACAGTGGTCCCCTTCTCCCCTTCCTCTCCAGGAAGCCTCTTTCAATAAACCTCATCCCACCCCCATCTGCTTTTTCTAGTGTGTTCATTTTCAATCAGTACTCAGACACTTTTATTAGTGATCACTTGCTAATAGGTGGTTTTAAATCTGTTCTCCTTCCAAGATGCTACCTGTATGCTAGAGGCTCTCAGGCCTCTGAAGAAGGCACCTTATGCATACTTCCTTCTCTCTTTCTTTCCTTTCTTTTCTCTTTTTTTTTTTTTTTCTTTCTTCTTTTCTTTTTTTTTTTTTTTTTTTTTTAGATGGAGTCTTGCTCTGTCTACCAGGCTGGAGTGCAGTGGTGCGATCTCGGCTCACTGCAACCTCCACCTCCCAGGTACAAGAGATTCTCCCACCTCAGCCTCCGAAGTAGCTGGGATTACAGGATGGCACGACCACATTCAGATAATTTTTGTATTTTCAGTAGACAGGCTTCGCCATGTTGACCAGGCTGGTCTCAAACTCCTGACCTCAGGTAATCCTCTCATCTCTACCTCCCAAGGTGCTGGGATTACAGGCATGAGCCACTGCACCTGGCCTTTATTGCATATTTCTTGCACATCTTCATGTGTACTCCTATCCCCTCCTCCCAGGACCAGGCCCTGGCTGGGTTTGGCAACAGGAGCTCTGCATGGGACCTAGGTCTCAGCTGAGCTGGAGGTCACTTGCTGTAAGAGCAGGCCAGAGGCCTAATGGTATCATTGCCAGGGTCGGACCCAGTGGACAGACCCGGAAGAAAGCCTTCAGCCAAAGACCACCTGAGGCCCCTAACAACCCTTTCTGTAGCCCCCCTCCTGCCTGGGAGATTTCCTGCACTGGGAAGGGAGACTCCCTTTGGTACTGGGAGGGGATCCAAGAGGTGCTGAGGCCATTGGCCCTTGGGACACGAACAGAAGCAGCTCCCCAGAGAACACCTGCCCTATTCCAGGGCCGGGACCCCAGCCCTGCCCCGCCCTGTCCCGTAGGATGCAAGGCCCCGCCCCAGCCCCATCGGGTCCCAGAGAAACTGCCCCGCCCAGCGGCCCCCTCTCCGCTGCCGGCGCGCGGCTTCTTTCAGCACCAAGGCGAGGACAGCTCCCGGGCCGTCTCAGAGGAGAGGAGGCGAGGAGGGCGCGGGCCAGGGAGGCGAGCGGAGGGCAGGAGAGCGCAGGAAAGGAAAGGAGAGGTGGGGCAGGAGTGGGGAGGGAAGGGCAGGGGAGGGCAGAGCAGGCTGGCGGGCGGGGCGTGGAGCCCGGGGGCGGCGCCCACCGGAGCCGGACGCTGCTGAGCCCGAGGACAGACAGAGACGCCGGGAGCCGGGGACGCCTGTGGCTCCCGGCAGGGGCCGCCGCGGAAAGATGCCGGTCCGCAGGGGCCACGTCGCTCCCCAGAACACTTACCTGGACACCATCATCCGCAAGTTCGAGGGCCAAAGTGAGTGTGTGTATGTTGGGGCGGGGGGACGATCTGGAGTCCTGGTTCCGTGAAAGCGGGGGCCGGACCCCTTTACTAACTTCTAGCTGGGCAAGGTGGTGAGTGCCAGGTACTGAATGCAAAATCCTTCCTTTGATGTCCCTAACACCTTCTCCTCCAGCGGGACCCGCTCGCCTTAAATGCTGTCCTCTTTTCTGGAACACAAGGAGCAGGGTGCAGCCCTTCCCTCCCCACCCCCAGCTGTTTCCTTGGTGCCCCAAGTCCGAACCTCCCCTTCCAGCCACTGCCCGCCCCCCGCACCCGCGTCCTCCAGAGGCTTTCCTGAGTCCTTCCTTTCCTTCCTTTTCATATCCTGGCGCTGGTCTTCCCAGGAGCTTTCCCAGGCCAGACCCCCATCTGGTCACATGCCTGCCTCCCTTTCTGACACTTTTCCTGTTTCCAGGAGGCCTTGGGCCTTCCTTCCACCTCATGACCCTCACTGCCCTAGTCTTCCCACAATCCCCAGGCCTGACTCCCTCCCTCGTTCTGGTCACTGCCCTGCTCCTCTGCCTAAATTCCCCTTACTGCCCCCAAGAGTCCTTATGATCTTTCCCTCCCTGCCTCCAGATCCTGGCTCCCATGGACTTTTTGCCTCCCACCTCCCACCCCAGGTCGGAAGTTCCTGATCGCCAATGCTCAGATGGAGAACTGCGCCATCATTTACTGCAACGATGGCTTCTGTGAACTCTTTGGCTACTCCCGAGTGGAGGTGATGCAGCAACCCTGCACCTGCGACTTCCTCACAGGCCCCAACACACCAAGCAGCGCTGTGTCTCGCCTAGCGCAGGCCCTGCTGGGGGCTGAGGAGTGCAAGGTGGACATCCTCTACTACCGCAAGGATGGTGAGGCACACTCAGGCCAGAGGCTTTGCAGGGCAGGCTTGGCCCTCTGTCTTGTCCAGCCAGGGTGGCCTTGGAGAAGGCACTGACCCAGGATCCAAAGGGCCTGCACAAACCCTGTTTCTTGTAGGGGCCTTGGTTCCTCCACAGGCATTGGATATAACGCCTTCTGAGGTCCTTTGCAGGAGCTAGGGATCAGGCTGGGCCACCCACTGGTCCTGGCCTGGGGCAGGGCCTCCCACTCTGCCATCCCTCCCTTGTGTCCCTGGTTTCCTGGATCTCCACTCTGTCACTGTCAGCCCCAGCTGTCAGGCAGCTGGGATGGAAATTAACCTTCCCTCCTCTCCGTCTGCTCCAGGGATTAGAGGAGGAGTCACCTCCTCAAGGCCTCTGTGGCCAGGCAAGGCATGGCGGCTTTTGGCTGGGAAAGTGGGGTGGGCCTGCCTCATCCAGTCTTAGCTCTTTGGGGAGACAGGGTCTGGAGTTTTCCCTGACCAGGAGGCTCATTCAGATGGGGTTTGGGTTGTTACTGCCAGCTGGAGCATACTGCAAGCAGAACAGAAGCATAGGTCAGGGACTGAAGACAGAGCTCAGCAGCCCTTGGAAATCCTCCCCCACTCCCCAGGACCGCAGGGTCCTCACTGGACCTGGCAGGATGGGTGGGAACGAGGAAAAGAGCCTGAATGTCCTTGGAAATCTCTTGAATCAATGGCCCCCAACCTGGTTCTGCATCAGAATTACCCAGAGCATGTTTCCTAAAACATGCTTTCTCTAGAGAGAGGCTGACTCAGAAGGTGTGAGATGAGGCCAAGCGGGTATATTCGGAAATATCTCCCTGGTGGTTCTGATGTTCTGCCTACTTTAGGAACCACTGGCTTAGGTAAATCCCTTCATTTCATAGATGTGGAAGGGATTTGCCCAAGATCCCACTGCTAGAGTCCAACCTGGGACTGGAACCCAAGTCTCTGGATTCCTCCCTCAGAGATTTCTTTTGAGTAATCCCAAGAGGAAAGAAAGGACCCCAGGTGTCTTTGTGTTTAGAGGCAGGATTTCTGGGGAAGGAAGTGCTCAGGAGAGAGAAGTCCCCAGGGAAGGCAGGCATGAGGCCACCTGAGTGCAGATAAAGAATGGATGTCTCTGGATCGGGACTGAGGAGTGCTGAGAGCCCAGGTTTCAGGGGCCTGGAGTGTGTGAAACATGAGCATGTGTGTGCCTCTGTGTGTGTGTGTGTGTGTGTGCGCTTGCAAGTGCATACCTGTGTGTGTGTGTGTTTGCAGGCTTCTCAGAGTTACAGCTTCTCGGGTAGGTCCTGGTTGTTCCTGCTGCTGCTACTTGAGGAAGTGGCAGCGGGAAGTACAGCAGGCAGGGGCAGCCGGGGGGGACTGGGAAGAATCTAGCTTAGTGTGGCAGTACTCACAGGGTTAATGAAGTCAGAATATTTTTAAAAGCTGTGACCTCACCTCCTCACATCATTGCAGAGAGGAGGTGGCAGTCAGGGGAGTGAGAAGGGTCCTGGGGAACAGGATGGACAGCAGGAAATGGGGGGGCGAAGTACAGCAGGTCCTTTCTTTTCCTCTCCTTAACACTAGAGCTCTTCCTGATCCCAGACTCCTAGGGATGTCAGGTGATGGCTCTTGGGGTCCCCTCAGCACCCTGCAGGTATCTGGACAGAGGGCAGAAGTCAAAGCCTGGCCTTGGCCCCCTGAGATCAGGACTCAGATCAGAATCCTGTGGGAGTCCTCAGGTCTCAGAAGGGAACCTAGGAACCTTGTCTTGGGGGCAGACCCTCAGTGAAAATGGGAAATTACCCACATACCTTGTGCCCCATAAGTCCCAATCTACTCCCATCTCACCCTCGGCCCTTCCCTATCTTATTGCCCAAGGCTTTGATTACCTGAACCTTCCTGAAATTGTCCTGAAACCCAGAAAAGTGAGCTTCCTGGCCTGCATTGTACCAAGGGAAGGATGTTGTGCTCAGATAACTGATGTTCACCTTAAGGTCCACTCTGACCACAGACCGCATATAATCCTTTTTTTTTTTTTTTTTTGAAACAGGGTCTTGCTCTGTCACCCAGGCTGGCAAGAACATAGCTCACTGCAGCCTCCCATCTCAGTCTCCCGAGTAGTTGAGTAGCTGAGACTACAGGTGTGCACCATCACACCCGGCTAATTTTTAAATTTTTTGTAGGGATGGAGGTCTCACTGTGTTGCCCAGGCTGGCACATGATCCTTTTTTGACTATATTCACGTACATCTTACAGTCCTGCTGAGGGGCATCCTAATGGTGATTTCTTTCCTCCCTGGACAGTACCTCCCTTCCCCCCCAACCCCCAACTCCAGGGAGGTGGGAAGGGGTCCTGAGCAGATCTCTAGCTGATTTATACATAATCCTCTTTTCCTCTAAAGGGGTAATCCACTGAAAATTCTCGAAGTCAAAGTGGAGGGTTTGTGTTCACATAGCTCCATGCTGTGCAGCTACAGACAGTTGGGCTCAAAGAGGCCAGGGCACTTGGCAAAAATACCGCAGGAGACAGCTCAGAGACCCCCGGGAAACTGGCTCTTCCTCTATTTGCCTTTGCTAGGAGTGGTGAGACCCTAACAGATAAGGAGGAATGGGGATGTGGCAGGACTAGAACTGGTGAGAGTTTGGAGGGAAGAAAGGAGAGCACTCAGATCCCCCCCACTGTCACTCATGCCTGCCCTGCACTGGCACCTGCCTGAGAGCCCACCCCAGCCTGCCTTTCCCGGGTCCTCTTCTTGAGGATCCCAAACCAGAGAGTCCCCTAATCCCCAAGCCAGGTCAGAGGAGTCCTGGGACTTCTCCAGTCCTCAGCTCTTGATGAGGATGGGACAAGGGGCTGCTGTCTGTCCCCACCCTCCCCCCATGTTTACCATATGCACACCCATGAATGCCAGGAGGACCAAGCCAGGAGGTGGCATGCAGTGGCCACTCTCTCAGTGGCAGCTTTTTGTAGCACCAGCCTCTCCCTGGGGGCTCACCACAGTGCTGGATCGGGTGTGCATCAGGAGAGAGAGGTGAAGACAACAAGGAGGCTGTGAGTGCTGGGAAACTGAAGGAAGGAGCCCATTCAAGAGGGAGAGAAGAGCACAGAGAAGTGGGGTGTCTCAGGGGAGAGAAGTGGGGTGCCTTTGCTAAGAAAAGTACAAACCTAGCGGATAAGAAAGAATGGGAATTCCCAGGGGGCAGACAAACCTGCTGCCCTTGGTCAGAGAGGTGGGTGCTGGGAGGAGCTCCTGAAAGGAAACAGCGGGCAGAGACTGTGGTTCCTCCCCCAGGGCCCCAGCGAGGGCATGGGAACACTGCCACTCCTGGGCATAACCTGAGATGTTATACTTACCCACTTTTGGTCACCTAGATGTGGGCTTTTATTGTGTAGGGGCTCTGAGCCACAGGTAAGCAAGGACAGCCTGGGGCAGCCTGGGGCAGCCTGGGGCATTCGAAGAATGCTCTGCACTCTTCGAAATCCTCCTAGCCTCCTGTCTGCCTACCCCACAGGCCGCAGGTATGGGGGCGGGGCATGGGGTACCATGCACCGACACCCCACCCCAGCCCCAGCCCTCACTGCTATAACGGGCTGGTCTTTGGTCCATTCCCAGCCGCAATTTTCCAATTGCATCAATTTTCCAGTAACATCAATTGCTGGGTGCAGCCACTCCAAGACTGCGTTAGCAGCCCCCAGCAGCTGAGAGAGCCTGGAGGCCCTCTGCCCCTCTGCCCAGCTCTGCCCTCTCCCCGACCCCTGCCAGTCCAGATCTTTGCAGTGCCAGAAAGATTGACAATATAATCTGGTCTTAGGAGCAGTGTACCAGGCCACTGGCCAAGGAGGCTCCCTATCCAGGTTTCAGCGTCCAAGTGTCGCCATGCCCCAGGCTGACTAGAGTGATGGGCTTGGGCCTGGGAGTCTGGGCCTGTAGCACTGTGCGCCCAGGAGTGGGTGAAGCAGGCAGGCACCTCTCCCCGGTGTGGATGTCTCCCCTGGGCCCAGGCAGCAGATGGTAGATGGCTGCCTGGTGCCTGGGAGTCCAGAAATCCAATACGGGAGATTCCTACTCCCCGGGGAGGAAAGCGAGAGGGAGGATAGGGGTGGCTCAGCTGCACCCCAGCTCTGATGGTTGGTGAGGGGGGCTGAAGGACGAAACAAGGAGTCTGTGGAGAGTCTATTCCAAGTGAGGTTCCACAGCGCGGCGATACTCCGACCAGCGTCCGAGCCATGCGTCCCCACACATTCGGCTTCCATCCACATCAGTCACAAACACACCTGGGGCAGGTGAAGCAGCTGCCTAACCTTCCCGCTCGAGGGAGTGCAAGCTCTGCCTTCTCATTTGCGAATGGTCACCTGAGCCGCGCCGCCATGAGGAATCCTGCGCCCTTTCGGGCCTGACACCTGCCAACAGTTTTGAGTTGAGGGACATAGGACTCCCCATCGGAGACGGGTGGCTCATGGGTGCCCCGGCTTGGGGCTCTTGGGTAGGGGCCATTTTTGTTTGTTTGTATTTATTTAAGAACAGAGTCTCCCTCTCGCTCACCCAGTGCTGGAGTGCCGTGGGCCATGATCTT